ATCATGGTGGCTATCAGCATGTAAAAAAAAGATTAAGGTGGCTATTTAGCCCCGTAACCCGGATATGGTGGGTATCGCATGTAACAATGATCATTGTCCCCTATCAGCTGTAAAATGAACATGGGGGCTTTTCAGCATGTAACTTTATCATGGTGGGGTATCAGTATGTTTAAAAAATGTTTATGGTGGCTATCACCGTAACAATGGGTCATGGTGGCTAAAACCCGCATGTAACAAAGATCAGGTGGAAACAGCATTAAAAATGATCATGGTGGCTATCCCATGTAACAATGATCATGGTGGCTATCAGCATTTTAAACAAAGGTCATGGTGGGTATCAGCAAGTAACAATGATATGGTGGCTTTTCGCACGTAACAAAAAGATCATTTGGGGGCAAAAAAACATGTAAAAATGAACCCTGGTGGCAAACAGCACGTAACAATGATCAGGTGGGTATCAGCATGTAAAAATATCCCTGGTGGGAAACACACGTAACATGATCATGGTGGCTATCAGCAAGTAACAATGTCATTTGGGGGCTATCACCCGTTTAAAAGTGATCATGGTGGCTATCACAGTAACAATTTATCATGGTGGCTAAACAGACGTAACAGTGATCATGGGGGCTATTAGATGTAACAAAGATCATGGGGGCATCAGCCTTAACAAGAACAAGGGGCTATCAGCAGTAACAATGATTTATGGGGGCATCATATGTTTAAAAATGATCATGGTTTGGGTTTCAGCACCCTAACAATGACTGGTGGCTTTCAGCCGTAAAAGTGAACAATTTTGGCTAACCATGTAAACAATGAAACTGGGGCTTTTCAGCACGTAACAATGATATGGTGGCTTCAGCATGTAAAAATGATCATGGGGGGCTATCAGCACGTAAAAAATGTTTATGGTGGCTATCACACGAACAATGATCATGGTGGGCTATCAGACGTAACAATGTCCCCCTGGTGGGTATCCAAACACGTTTCCCAAAGAACATGGGGCTTCCCAAAAAAAGTAAAAATAAATTATTATTATGTTTTTTGGTTTTTTTTGGAAAACGCAAGGAAGGGGGTGTAGGGTCGACCCTCCGTCCTGATATACCGGGGGGGGAAACTCCACCGGGTGTCTTTTCTTCCCCAAAAGGTTTTTTTTCATCCGTTAAGGAACACTTACATACGTGACTCAGATTTATACATGCTGTTTAGCTATCACACTTCTCCGGCTATTCACCTGCCAGACTTTTGCATGTGTGAGTGACAAAGGTCAATGGATCCACTCGACACACAAGCTTGTAGGAAGTCTGTTTACGGTGTTTTAGAAGTCATACGGGACCTCCATTCAACAGGAGTAGTTGGGAAGTTTTCATAAAGACTCTGTTGGCAGCTTCTCCACAAAGTCCTGACTTGTGGACATTGTAGTGGAAGGTACTCGAGGGCTTGGTCCTAATTCTGCACACTGCCATAACAACTTACTGGAGTGAGAGATATGGGATGAAGTGTAAATAAACCCAGTGAGGAGCAGGGGATGCGGTGGGGACAATAAGGGAACACTGTATCAACATCCGGGGTCCCAGACTTTTCAACATCTTACCAGAAGATATCAGAAACACTGTTGGAACAAGTGTAGAAGCCTTCAAGAGGAAACTAGACAAGTATCTTCACCAGGTGCCAGATCAACCAGGCTGTGATGGATATGTGGGGCAGCGGGCCTCCAGCACCAACAGCCTGGTTAACCAGGCGAGCACTAGACGAGCCTGGCCCATGGCCGGGCTCATAGAGTAGATATACTCTCGAAATTCTTCAAAGGTATATCAAAACGTAGAGCAAGGATACGAATCTGACTGCCTCACTGAAGGCTATTCTCAGCTACTGTTGGTTTATGTCTGTTTAGAAAGCTATTCAAAGCTTTTTTCAGGAAAAGTTATTTTAAACTTCCGCCAGATGATGTGGATGACCTCGTCAACACCTGTTTAAAACTTCTTGTTCAAAGTGGTATAAAATACCGACAAGTTGATGTACAACAGTTTGGATATCTTTATTGTTGAAACGTTTCGCCTACAAGGTAGGCAGCAGTAGCAGCGAGGTCAAGATGATGCAATCAGTCCATCAACCTTAGAGAAATAATTCGAGGCGGTCAGTCCCTCAGTCTGGAGAAGAATTCTTCTTCATGGAGCTGATTTCTCCTCCAGGCTGAGGGACTGACCACCTTAAACTATTGCTCCAAGATTGATGGACCGATTATATCATCTTTACCTCTCCATTATTACTGCTGCCTACAATACTTTCTCCTCTGTATTCGACTGATGAAGCCTACTGCGTAGGCGAAACGTTCTAACAATAAAAATACCCAACTGTTACACATGCATATGACTCTTAAAACTTTTTCCAATCCATGTGGGTTTACCTCAGGAGAAGTTATCCTCGGCTTCGTCCAGACATCAGTGACATCTGAACCTGACTCAGGCTTCGTGAGCCACTCACAAGTTTTATATTGATTTTTATAAAGTAAAATATTTGCTACAGTAGTTGTCTATTTTTGGAATTTATTATGCATGGTCTAAGGTAGAGTTTTAACTTTAACGGTTACATAATTTATCATTAGTACTGATAACAATTATTTTAGACTGAGATACAAATTTAACAAACTATGTGCAATGTCTAAACGATATAACAAGAACTTATTAAACTATTCTAATAAATATAAAAATATTTGTTTTAAACATTTTCTAAAATATTAAATTAATAGAGCTAATATTAATTTCAAATTTAAAAGTTTCGTAATAAAAAAAAAAAACACCTGAAGTCTGGTGGAGGAAAAAGTAAACAGAAGTGTTTCTCTGGGAAGAAGAAAACAGGAGGTCAGATGGAGAGGTGAGACACTGGAGATATTATAGGCTCAGCAGCGCCTCCTACAGCAGACATCTGAGATGCTACAGGTTCAGCAGCGCCTCCTACAGCAGACATCTGAGATGCTACAGGTTCAGCAGCGCCTCCTACAGCAGACACTGGGGATACTACAGGTTCAGCAGCGTCTCCTACAGCAGACACTGAGAAAGCTACAGGCTCAGCAGCGTCTCCTACAGCAGACATCTGGGGATACTACAGGATAAGCAGCGTCTCCTACAGCAGACACTGGGGATACTACAGGATCAGCAGCGTCTCCTACAGCAGACACTGGAGATATTATAGGCTCAGCAGCGCCTCCTACAGCAGACATCTGAGATGCTACAGGCTCAGCAGCGTCTCCTACAGCAGACACTGGGGATACTACAGGATAAGCAGCGTCTCCTACAGCAGACACTGGGGATACTACAGGATCAGCAGCGTCTCCTACAGCAGACACTGGAGATATTATAGGCTCAGCAGCGCCTCCTACAGCAGACATCTGAGATGCTACAGGTTCAGCAGCGCCTCCTACAGCAGACACTGGGGATACTACAGGTTCAGCAGCGTCTCCTACAGCAGACACTGGGGATACTACAGGATCAGCAGCGTCTCCTACAGCAGACACTGGGATAAATAACAGGATTCAGCAGCATCTATCCTACAAGCAGAAAACTGGGGATACTACAGGATAAGCAGTCGTCTCCTACAGCAGACACTGGGGATACTACAGGATCACCAACGTCTCCTACAGCAGACACTGGGAAAAGGTAACCCCCACAGGTCACAGGCAGCACGCTCCTACAGCAGACATCTGAGATACTACAGGTTCACCAACGTCTCCTACAGCAGACACTGGGGATACTACAGGATCAGCAGCATCTCCTACAGCAGACACTGGGGATACTACAGGTTCACCAACGTCTCCTACAGCAGACACTGGAGGTACTACAGGTTCAGCAGCGTCTCCTACAGCAGACACTTGGGGATACTACAGGTTCACCAACGTCTCCTACAGCAGACACTGGGGATACTACAGGATTTAGCAAGCGTCTCCTACAGCAGACACTGGGGATACTACAGATCAGCAGCATCTCCTACAGCAGACACTGGGGATACTACAGGATCAGCAGCATCTCCTACAGCAGACACTGGGGATACTACAGGATCAGCAGCGTCTCCTACAGCAGACACTGGGGATACTACAGGGTTCAGCAACGTCTCCTATAGCAGACACTGGGGTACTACAGGGTTCAGCAGTCTCCTCCCTAACAGGCATTTAGCAGCGTTTTCCTACAGCAGACACTGGGGTACTATAGGTTCAGCAGCGTCTCCTATAGCAGATACTGGAGGTACTACAGGATCAGCAGCGTCTCCTACAGCAGACACTGGAGGTACTACAGGTTCAGCAGCGTCTCCTACAGCAGACACTGGAGATACTACAGGTTCAGCAGCGTCTCCTACAGCAGACACTGGGGATACTACAGGTTCAGCAGCGTCTCCTACAGCAGACACTGGAGGTACTACAGGTTCAGCAGCGTCTCCTACAGCAGACACTGGAGATACTACAGGTTCAGCAGCGTCTCCTACAGCAGACACTGGGGATACTACAGGTTCAGCAGTGTCCTCCTACAGCAGACACCCAGAGGTACTACAGACTCAGCAAACTCCTCCAGAGCTGGGGAAGACTCATTGCACCAGGTCTCCCAGCCCGGTTCATGGCAGCATCTCCAAAGAGATCCTAGGTACTATGGCCGCAGCAGAGTCTCTACCGCCTGGATACCGGTTCAGAACAGCAACACTGGTAGTTACGTCGTAGTTTCCTATCGGCACAATATACAGAATCACACGTTTCCTACACAACTAGTACTAAGTTTGTATTCTACAAACATATCACATCAAAGTCTTATTTAGCAGACATAAATAATGCTCACTCCTACAGCAGAAACTGGAGGTACTAACAGGTTCAAGACAGAGTCCCTCAGCAGACCTGAAGTACCACGTTCAAGCAAGGACCTACAGCAGACACTGGAGGTACTACAGGTTCAGCAGCGTCTCCTACAGCAGACACTGGAGATAATACAGGATCAGCAGTGCCTCCTACAGGAGACACCTAAGATGCTACCCGAGACTCAGTAACTCACTCCATTAAGCTGGAGTGAAGACTCTTGCACCAGGTCTCCCAGCTTGTTCATGGCAGCATCTACCAGAGAGATCTTAGTGTACGGCCGCAGCAGAAGTTCTTCCGCCTTGCTGTAGCCGATGAACAGGAACACTCCGTAGTTGACGTCGTAGTTGTCTGTCGGCACAATATACAAGAACAACTTTCGCTTTACACAATAGTAAATTTGTATCTATTAAGCCATATCCATCAAATCATTATTTTAGCGCATCAATAAATGCTCACTTATAGGACAAATTACTGAAAATTTTGAAAAAAAAAACAGAAAAAACAGAATGCATCACTTTCCTGTCCCAATTACCCCTCAAAAAAGAGAAAAACAAAATTGTCTGCTAATATATATCAAAATGAGGCAAACTGTCCAATTGTAAGTATAAAAGAAAATAATATTTAACATCATCAGTCAAACACAGGTAAATAAATTTTCATTTGTTTGTTCTTGTAATGTTGAAACATTTGATCATTTAGGACAAAAACAATATTCATAACAACGAAAAACAGAGACAAAGTCCTAAATATTTATCCACATTTTCCATTTAATAAAATGAATAATACTGAGTCCAGTCCTGAAAATCCAGTGATCACTGTAGCCGTCATCCACTAGTGTCTGGCACCGTCTTGTCAGGTGCCAACCACAGTGCCAGCACCACTGAAGTGTCACTTGTCAGGTGACAACCACAGTGCCAGCACCACTGAGAGTGTCACTTGTTAGGTACCAACCACAGTAACGCACACTGAGAGTGTCACTTGTCAGGTGACAACCACAGTGCCAGCACCACTGAGAGTGTCACTTGTTAGGTACCAACCACAGTAACAGCACCACTGAGAGTGTCACTTGTCAGGTGTCAACCACAGTGCAGGCACCACTGAGAGTGTCACTTGTTAGGTACCAACCACAGTAACAGCACCACTGAGAGTGTCACTTGTCAGGTGACAACCACAGTGCCAGCACCACTGAGAGTGTCACTTGTTAGGTACCAACCACAGTAACAGCACCACTGAGAGTGTCACTTGTCAGGTGACAACCACAGTGCCAGCACCACTGAGAGTGTCACTTGTTAGGTACCAACCACAGTACAGCACCACTGAGAGTGTCACTTGTCAGGTGACAACCACAGTGCCAGCACCACTGAGAGTGTCACTTGTTAGGTACCAACCACAGTAACAGCACCACTGAGAGTGTCACTTGTCAGGTCAACCACAGTGCAGCACCACTGAGAGTTGTCACTTGTTAGGTACCAACACAAGTAACGCACCACTGAGAGTGTCATTTGTCAGGTGACAACCACAGTGCAGCACCACTGAGAGTGTCACTTGTTAGGTACCAACACAGTAACAGCACCACTGAGAGTGTCACTTGTCAGGTGACAACCACAGTGCAGCACCACTGAGAGTGTCACTTGTTAGTACCAACCACAGTAACAGCACCACTGAGAGTGTCACTTGGCAGGTGCAACCACAGTGCAGGCACCACTGAGTGTCACTTGTTAGGTACCAAACCACAGGAACGCACCACTGAGAGTGTCACTTTGTCAGGTGACAACCACAGTGCCAGCACCACTGAGAGTGTCACTTGTTAGGTACCAACCACAGTAACAGCACCACTGAGAGTGTCACTTGTCAGGTGACAACCACAGTGCCAGCACCACTGAGAGTGTCACTTGTTAGGTTACCAACCACAGTAAGCACCACTGAGAGTGTCTCTTGTCAGGTGCAACCACAGTGCAGGCACCACTAGAGTGTCACTTTAGGTCCAACCACAGTAACAGCACCACTGAGAGTGTCACTTGTCAGGTGACAACCACAGTGCCAGCACCACTGAGAGTGTCACTTGTTAGGTACCAACCACAGTAACAGCACCACTGAGAGTGTCACTTGTCAGGTGACAACCACAGTGCCAGCACCACTGAGAGTGTCACTTGTTAGGTACCAACCACAGTAACAGCACCACTGAGAGTGTCACTTGTCAGGTGTCAACCACAGTGCAGGCACCACTAAGAGTGTCACTTGTTAGGTACCAACCACAGTAACAGCACCACTGAGAGTGTCACTTGTCAGGTGACAACCACAGTGCCAGCACCACTGAGAGTGTCACTTGTTAGGTACCAACCACAGTAACAGCACCACTGAGAGTGTCACTTGTCAGGTGTCAACCACAGTGCAGGCACCACTAAGAGTGTCACTTGTTAGGTACCAACCACAGTAACAGCACCACTGAGAGTGTCACTTGTCAGGTGACACCACAGTGCAGCACCACTGAGAGTGTCACTTGTTAGGTACCAACCACAGTAACAGCACCACTGAGAGTGTCACTTGTCAGGTGACAACCACAGGGCCGGCACCACTAAGTGTCACTTGTCAGGTGCCAACCACAGTGCAGGCACCACTGAGAGTGTCACTTGCCAGGTGACAACCACAGGGCCGGCACCACTAAGTGTCACTTGTCAGGTGCCAACCACAGTGCAGGCACCACTGAGAGTGTCACTTGTCAGGTGCCAACCACAGGGCCGGCACCACTAAGTGTCACTTGTCAGGTGCCAACCACAGTGCAGGCACCACTGAGAGTGTCACTTGCAGGTGCCAACCACAGGCGGCCCACTAGTGTCACTTATCAGGTGCCAACCACAGTGCAGGCACCACTGAGAGTGTCACTTGTCCAGGTGCCAACCACAGGGCCGGCACCACTAAGTGTCACTTGTCAGGTGCCAACCACAGTGCAGGCACCACTGAGAGTGTCACTTGTCAGGTGCCAACCACAGTGCAGGCACCACTGAGAGTGTCACTTGTCAGGTGCCAATCACAGTGCAGGCACCACTGAGAGTGTCACTTGCCAGGTGCCAACCACAGTGCAGGCACCACTGAGAGTGTCACTTGTCAGGTGCCAACCACAGGGCCGGCACCACTAAGTGTCACTTGTCAGGTGCCAACCACAGTGCAGGCACCACTGAGAGTGTCACTTGTCAGGTACCAACCACAGTGCAGGCACCACTGAGAGTGTCACTTGTCAGGTGCCAACCACAGTGTAGGCACCACTGAGAGTGTCACTTGTCAGGAACCAACCACAGTGCAGGCACCACTGGGAGTGTCACTTGTCAGGTGTCAATCACAGGGCCGGCACCACTGAGTGTCACTTGTCAGGTGCCAACCACAGTGCAGGCACCACTGAAAATGTCACTTGTCAGGTGCCAACCACAGTGCCAGCACCACTGAGAGTGTGTGTCACTTGTCAGGTGCCAATCACAGTGGAGGCACCACTGAGAGTGTCATTTGCCAGGTGCCAACCACAGTGCCAGCACCACTGAGAGAGTCACTTGCCAGGTGCCAACCAGAGTGCCAGCACCACTGAGAGTGTCACTTGTCAGGTGTCAACCACATTGCAAGCACCACTGAGAGTATCACTTGTCAGGTGCCAACCACAGTGCAGGCACCACTGAGAGTGTCACTTGTCAGGTGCCAACCACAGTGCAGGCACCACTGAGAGTGTCACTTGTCAGGTGCCAACCTCAGGGCCGGCAACAGTGAGAGGGTCATTTGTCAGGTGGAAACCACAGTGCCAGCACCACCGAGAGTGTCACTTGTAGGTGCAATCACAGTGCAGGCACCACATGAGAGTGTCATTTGCCAGGTGCCAACCACGTGCAAACCACCACATGAGAGTGTCACTGTCAGGCTGTCAACCAGTGCAGGCCACTGAGAGTATCACTTGCAGTGACAACCACATGCAGGGCCCACTGAGAGTTCATTTCAGGTGCCAACACAGATCGGCAACAGTTGAGAGGTCACTTGCCAGTTGCCAAACACAGTGCCAGCACACTGATGGGTACTTCCAGGTGCCAACCATAGTGCCAGCACCACTGAGTGTCATGTCAGGTGCCAACACAGTGCATGCACATGAGAGTGTCACTTGGTACAGGTGCAACCACAGTGCATGCACCACTGAGGTGTCACTTCCGTGCAACCACAGTTGCAGCACCATTGATAGTGTCACTTGTAGGTGCAACCACAGTGCAGGCACCAATGAGAGCGACTTGCAGGTGTTCAAGACAGTGCGGCACCACGAGAGTGTATTTCAGGTGCAATCACAGTGCAGGCACCTGAGAGTGTCACTTCCACGCAACCACAGTGTAGGCACCACTGAAAGTGTCACTTGTCAGGTGCCGAAAAAAAACATGCAGGCACCATGAGAGTGTCATTGCAGGTGCACCACATGCAGGCCCACTGAGAGTCATTTGAAGTCCACCATGCAGGCCCACTGAGAGGGTCACTGCCAGGTGCCAACACAGTGCAGCAGCACTGAGAGGTCACTTGTCAGTGCCAACCAAGTGCAGGCACCATGAGAGTGTCACTGTCATGTGCCAAACAGCGCAGACACTGAGAGGGGTCATTGCCAGGTGCACCACAGTGCAGCACCACTGAGAGTGTCACTTGCCAGGTGCCAACCACAGTGCAGGCGCCACGAGTGTCACTTGCAGGTGCCAACACAGTGCAGGCCTCGAGTGTACTTGTCAGGTGCCAACCACAGTGCAGGCACCACTGAGAGTGTCCTTGCCAGGTGCAACCCAGTGCAGGCGCCATGAGTGTCACTTGTCAGGTGCCAACCACAGTGCAGGCACCACTGAGAGTGCACTGCCAGTGCCAACCACAGTGCAGCACCACTGAAAGGGGCCTTGTCAGGTGCCAAACCAGAGGCAGGCCCATAGAGTGTCACTTGTCAGGTGCCAACCACAGTACAGGCACCCTGAGAGGGTCACTTGCCAGGTGAACCCCCAGTGCAGGGACCACTTAGGTGTCCTTGTCAGGGGCCAACCCAGGCGGCACCATGAGAGTGCACCCGTAGGTACCAACCACAGTGCAGGACCAATGAGGCGTCACTTGTCCTGTGCCCAACACAGGCAGGGACCCCTGAGAGGTCATTGTCAGGGGCCAAACCCTAGTGCAGGCCCACTGAAGTGTCACTTGCCAGGTGCCAACCACAGTCAGGGACCACGAGAGTGTCACTTGCAGGTCCAACCACAAAGCAGGGACCCCGAAATTTTTACTTGCCAGGTGCCAACCACAATGCAGGCCCATGAAAGTGTCATTGGGTGCCAAACAAGTGCAGGCACCCTGAAGTGTCACTTTTCGGTGCCAACCAAGTGCGCACCACTGAGAGTGTCTCTTAAAAACCCCCAAAACCCTCCAAGGTTCTGCTGACTTCAATAACACCCAAACTCGGGGGAATTTCTTGTAGTGAGAGAGAGTAAAAAATCCACTCAACAAGAAAACGTACATTACGAAAGTATTAGAAATTCAATGCAAATGATTTGGTGATGAAAATTATTTTAAAAATCGACAATTGTGAAAAGACACTTTTGCAAATTTTGGGAATTTTTTTTCGAGGGAAACGTTTGCCGACCAGTGAGTTTCAGTCCAATACAGAAAATAACGAGAAAAATAGGAGGCTATGGGAATGAGTCCCTCCGCCTGGAATCGATTCCAGTGGAGGGACTGATTACCTCATACTTCTCATTTTCCACTGTTATTCTCTGTATTGGACTGAAGACACCACTGGCTGGGGAAACGTTTCCTCAGTAAAGATTAACAAAATTTGTACAGTGTCGCTCTTCAACAAATGTATTTAAAAGAATCAAAGTCTTAAGATCGAAACTTTTCAATAAAAACGTCACAGAGTATGTAATTCGTGACCATTTACCTCTGAACATTGTTTCTAGTCTTGTTCCTGAAAAAAAAAACATCAAATATGTTGACATCAGGTCCACTGGGATCTTTTAATCTTCTTCCCTGAGATGCATCAGTCTAATTCACTGTACTGAAATGGTTTGTCTGCAGGTAAATTGACAAATCCTAATATTACTTGCTTAAATCACTGTATGTTTTTCTAGATATTAGATTTAACGATCGTAGACGCTAGAAGACAGCGGTACGAGGCTCCTCGACGACTGTGTCTCAGTCAGATGCGTTCCAGTCATTTGCGTCCTACTATATATAACAAACCCCGATGCTATATATGCTACTGAACTATTTATAAACAACCCCCCAACCTAACCTAACATAATATTTACGATATAATTACAGGAATATGTAAAATTATATTTTTTTATGAAATATACAAATATTGGTATGGAAAAGTTCAGGACACAAAGGTATAAAAATAAAAAAATGACATCTAATATGAAATATACATAAACTGGGATGCAAATGTTCAGGACGCCAATGACCGGGATGTATTTGACCGGGACACAGTTGTCCAGGACGTAGTTGTCCTGTCAAAAGCTATTATGATTCTTGAACTTATTCACTGGGATACTTCTCCACTCAGTGATTATATTCAACAGTTAGTATCCTGTAGCGGACTATCATGATTTACACTTGGTAGTCTACAGTGGAACTATCATGATTTACACTTGGCAGTCTACAGTGGAGCTATCATGATTTACACTTGGTAGTCTACAGTGGAACTATCATGATTTACACTTGGTAGTCTACAGTGGAACTATCATGATTTACACTTGGTAGTCTACAGTGGAACTATCATGATTTACACTTGGTAGTCTACAGTGGGAACTATCATGATTTACACTTGGCAGTCTACAGTGGAACTATCATGATTTACACTTGGTAGTCTACAGTGGAACTATCATGATTTACACTTGGTAGTCTACAGTGGCAACTATCATGATTTACACTTGGTAGTCTACAGTGGAACTATCATGATTTACACTTGGTAGTCTACAGTGACTATCATGATTTACACTTGGTACTCTACAGTGGAACTATCATGATTTACACTTGGTAGTCTACAGTGGAACTATCATGATTTACACTTGGTAGTCTACAGTGGAACTATCATGATTTACACTTGGTAGTCTACAGTGGAACTATCATGATTTACACTTGGTAGTCTACAGTGCAACTATCATGATTTACACTTGGTAGTCTACAGTGGAACTATCATGATTTACACTTGGTAGTCTACAGTGGAACTATCATGATTTACACTTGGTATCCTGCAGGGTATCTATTATACTATACACTTGGTATCCTGCAGGGTAACTGTTACCTAGTGCTCGTGGTATCCAGCAGGGACACTCACCTTGCGGAGGCCTGACGCAGATGAAGGAACCTGAGTAACAGAAGCACTCGCCGCGGGAGGCCTGGTAGGCCGGAGCGGCGTGTGTGTAGACAGCATAACCCGTCTCGCAGGGGCGTGCCTCCACGCACTCCAGCACGCTACACGCCAACTTCTGCTCGGCGTGACACAAACACAGCTCAGAGCACTCCTCGTCTTTGTAGAAGCGCTTGCCCCATCCTTCCTCGATGTAGATGGTGTCGTTGTTGGTGTGGCGCTTCTCACAGTACTCTGTTGGAATAACAGAGCTCTGTTGCAGTAACTAGTGTTATAACACAGGTCTGCTTTGGTGGTGGTGGAACTTTAAATGTTTACTTTTTTATAATGAGTAGTAGATTCTCTAGCTGAGTTGGTAGGTTCTCTAATTTAATAATTCTAGATAGGGACGTTAGTAGACAAATATTTTTTTATAAGTGGTTACTGTACACTTCTTGGAAGACATACATAGAGTGAGCTGTCTTCACTAAAGACATATAGAAGGTGAGTTATTCTCACTGAAGACATATACAAGGTAAGTTATTCTCACTGAAGAAATATATAAGGTGAGTTATTCTCAGTGAGGATATATACAAGGTGAGTTATTCTCACTGAAGACATATACAAGGTGAGTAATTCTCACTGAAGAAATATATAAGGTGAGTTATTCTCAGTGAGGACACATACAAGGTGAGTTATTCGCACTGAAGACATATACAAGGTGAGTTATTCTCACTGAAGAAATATATAAGGTGAGTTATTCTCAGTGAGAGACATATACAAGGTGAGTTATTCTCACTGAAGACATATACAAGGTGAGTTATTCTCACTGAAGACATATACAAGGTGAGTAATTCTCACTGAAGACATGTACAAGGTGAGTTATTCTCACTGAAGACATGTACAAGGTGAGTTATTCTCACTGAAGACATATCCAAAGTGAGTTATTCTCACTGAAGCCATATACAAGGTGACTTATTCTCACTGAAGATATATACAAGGTGAGTTATTCTCAGTGAAGACATATACAAGGTGAGTTATTCTCACTGAAGACATATACAAGGTGAGTTACTCTCACTGAAGACATATATAAGGTGAGTTATTCTCACTGAAGACATGTACAAGGTGAGTTATTCTCACTGAAGACATATCCAAAGTGAGTTATTCTCACTAAGATATATACAAGGTGAGTTATTCTCAGTGAAGACATATACAAGGTGAGTTATTCTCGCTGAAGACATATATAAGGTGAGTTATTCTCACTAAGATATATACAAGGTGAGTTATTCTCAGTGAAGACATATACAAGGTGAGTTATTCTCACTGAAGACACATACAAGGTGAGTTATTCGCACTGAAGACATATACAAGGTGAGTTATTCTCACTGAAGAAATATATAAGGTGAGTTATTCTCAGTGAGGACATATACAAGGTGAGTTATTCTCACTGAAGACATATACAAGGTGAGTTATTCTCACTGAAGACATATACAAGGTGAGTTATTCTCACTGAAGACATGTACAAGGTGAGTTATTCTCACTGAAGACATGTACAAGGTGAGTTATTCTCACTGAAGACATATCCAAAGTGAGTTATTCTCACTGAAGCCATATACAAGGTGAGTTATTCTCACTGAAGATATATACAAGGTGAGTTATTCTCAGTGAAGACATATACAAGGTGAGTTATTCTCACTGAAGACATATACAAGGTGAGTTACTCTCACTGAAGACATATATAAGGTGAGTTATTCTCACTGAAGACATGTACAAGGTGAGTTATTCTCACTGAAGACATATCCAAAGTGAGTTATTCTCACTGAAGACATATACAAGGTGAGTTATTCTCATTAAGATATATACAAGGTGAGTTATTCTCAGTGAAGACATATACAAGGTGAGTTATTCTCGCTGAAGTCATATATAAGGTGAGTTATTCTCACTAAGATATATACAAGGTGAGTTATTCTCAGTGAATACATATACAAGGTGAGTTATTCTCATTGAAGACATATATAAGGTGAGTTATTCTCACTGAAGACATGTACAAGGTGAGTTATTCTCACTGAAGACATATCCAAAGTGAGTTATTCTCACTGAAGACATGTACAAGGTGAGTTATTCTCACTGAAGATATATACAAGGGGAGTTATTCTCAGTGAAGACATATACAAGGTGAGTTATTCTCAGTGAAGACATATACAAGGTGAGTTATTCTCACTGAAGACATATACATGGTGAGTTATTCTCACTGAAGACATATACAAGGAGAGTTATTCTCACTGAAGACATATACAAGGCGAGTTATTCTCACTGAAGACATATACAAGGTGAGTTATTCTCACTGAAGACATATACAAGGAGAGTTATTCTCACTGAAGACATATACAAGGTGAATTATTCTCACTGAAGACATATACAAGGTGAGTTATTCTCACTGAAGACATATACAAGGTGAGTTATTCTCACTGAAGACATGTACAAGGTGAGTTATTCTCACTGAAGACATATACAAGGTGAGTTATTCTCACTGAAGACATGTACAAGGTGAGTTATTCTCACTGAAGATATATACAAGGTGAGTTATTCTCAGCGAAGACATATACAAGGTGAGTTATTCTCAGTGAAGACATATACAAGGTGAGTTGTTCTCACTGAAGACATATACAAGGTGAGTTATTCTCAGTGAAGACATATACAAGGTGAGTTATTCTCACTGAAGACATATACAAGGTGAGTTATTCTCACTGAAGACATACACAAGGTGAGTTATTCTCACTGAAGACATATACAAGGTGAGTTATTCTCACTGAAGACATATACAAGGTGAGTTATTCTCACTGAAGACATAAACAATGTGAGTTATTCTCACTGAAGACATATACAAGGTGAATTATTCTCATTGAAGACATATACAAGGTGAGTTATTCTCACTGAAGACATATATAAGGTGAGTTATTCTCACTGAAGACATATACAAGGTGATTTATTCTCACTGAAGATATATACAAGGTGAGTTATTCTCAGTGAAGACATATACAAGGTGAGTTATTCTCACTGAAGACATATACAAAATGAGTTATTCTCACTGAAGACATATACAAGGTGAGTTATTCTCAGTGAAGACATATACAAGGTGAGTTATTCTCACTAAAGATGTATACAAGGTGAGTTATTCTCAGTGAAGACATATACAAGGTGAGTTATTCTCAGTGAAGACATATACAAGGTGAGTTGTTCTCACTGAAGACATATACAAGGTGAGTTATTCTCACTGAAGACATATACAAGGTGAGTTATTCTCACTGAAGACATATACAAGGTGAGTTATTCTCACTGAAGACATATACAAGGTGAGTTATTCTCACTGAAGACATATACAAGGTGAGTTATTCTCAGTGAGGACATATACAAGGTGAGTTATTCTCACTGAAGACATATACAAGATGAGTTATTCTCAGTGAAGACATATACAAGGTGAGTTATTCTCAGTGGAGACATATACAAGGTGAGTTATTCTCACTGAAGACATATGCAAGGTGAGTTATTCTCAGTGAGGAGTAATCTCATTTTTATCTGAAACTTGAATCTGAAAAACATTCCTGCTAAAATTCGTGTTTAAAACTTCATGTACACAAAGATAAATGGGATAAAACAAAAGATAGTTGAATCATTAGGTTTAAAAGACACATATGCGGCAATTAAGATACCTTATTAAGAATGGATAATGTGTTTTTCTTACGTAGGTGTCTGTGGTAATCACCATTTCCAACATCAGTAGGCTTAATTAAGAGACACAACTCAACTGCACTTTAATCCTTACTGCAGGAATTAGAATACTTTCACTGTGTATTCACTCAAACACTCACCTCTCAGTCAACATACACCTCTCAGTCAACATATGCACACATACCTCTCAGTGATCATGCACCTCTCAGTCAACATACACACCACACACACACACACACACACCTCAGTCATCACACAACTCTCAGTCAACATACACCTCTCAGTCAACATACACCTCTCAGTCAACATACACCTCTCAGTCAACATACACCTCTCAGTCAACATATGCATACATACCTCTCAGTGATCATGCACCTCTCAGTCAACATACACACACACACACACACACACACACCTCAGTCATCACACAACTCTCAGTCAACATACACCTCTCAGTCAACATACACCTCTCAGTCAACATACACCTCTCAGTCAACATACACCTCTCAGTCAACACACATCTCAGTCAACATACACCTCTCAGTCAACAAAACCACACACACACACACACACATCTCAGTCAACATACACACACATACACACCTCTCAGTCAACATACACCTCACAGTCAACATACACCTCTCAGTCAACACACATCTCTCAGTCAACATACACCTCTCAGTCAACATACACACACACACACACACACATCTCAGTCAACATACACACACATACACACCTCTCAGTCAACATACACCTCTCAGTCAACACACATCTCTCAGTCAACATACACCTCTCAGTCAACACACACATCTCAGTCAACACACATCTCTCAGTCAACATACACCTATCAGTAAAACATACACACACACACACACACACATCTCAGTCAACATACACACACATACACACCTCTCAGTCAACACACATCTCTCAGTCAACACACATCTCTCAGTCAACACACATCTCTCAGTCAACATACACCTCTCAGTCAACACGCACATCTCAGTCAACATACACCTCTCAGTCAACATACAACTCTCAGTCAACATACAACTCTCAGTCAACATACAACTCTCAGTCAACATACAACTCTCAGTCAACATACACCTCTCAGTCAACACACATCTCTCAGTCAACATACACCTCTCAGTCAACACGCACATCTCAGTCAACATACAACTCTCAGTCAACATACAACTCTCAGTCAACATACAACTCTCAGTCAACTTTACAACTCTCAGTCAACATACACCTCTCAGTCAACACGCACATCTCAGTCAACATACAAACTCTCAGTCAACATACAACTCTCAGTCAACATACACCTCTCAGTCAACACGCACATCTCAGTCAACATACAACTCTCAGTCAACATACAACTCTCAGTCAACATACACCTCTCAGTCAACACGCACATCTCAGTCAACATACAACTCTCAGTCAACATACAACTCTCAGTCAACATACAACTCTCAGTCAAATACAACTCTCAGTCAACATACACCTCTCAGTCAACACGCACATCTCAGTCAACATACAACTCTCAGTCAACATACAACTCTCAGTCAACATACAACTCTCAGTCAACATACAACTCTCAGTCAACATACACCTCTCAGTCAACATACAACTCTCAGTCAACATACAACTCTCAGTCAACATACACCTCTCAGTCAACATACAACTCTCAGTCAACATACACCTCTCAGTCAACATACACCTCTCAGTCAACATACACCTCTCAGTCAACATACACCTCTCAGTCAACATACACCTCTCAGTCAACATACACCTCTCAGTCAACATACACCTCTCAGTCAACATACACCTCTCAGTCAACATACATACACACACACCTCTCAGTCAACATATACACACATACCTCTCTCAGCCAACATTAACGCACCTCTCAGTCAACACACGCACACACACACACGAACCTTCAATACTAGTTATGCCAAGCCCACGATGACACTCTTCAGGTCACTTGTTCTATCTAGGCTGGAATATTGCTGCACACTAACAGCACCTTTCAGGGCAGGTGAAATTGCTGACCTAGAAAATGTACAAAGTACCTTCACGTCACACATAACTGCGATAAAACACCTCAATCACTGGGAACACTTGAAGTTTCTCAACCTGTACTCCCTAGAACGCAGAAGGAGAGATACACGATTATATACACTTGCAAAATCCTAGAGGGACTAGTACCAAACTTGCACACGAAAATCACTCCCTATGAAAGCAAAAGACTTGGCAGACGATGCAACATCCCCCCAATGAAAAGCAGGGGTGTCACTAGCACGATAAGAGACAACACAGTAAGTGTCCGGGGCCGAAGATTGTTCAACTACCTCCCAGCATACATAAGAGGGATTACCAATAGACCCCTGGCTGTCTTCAAGCAGGCACTGGACAGGCACCTAAAATCAACACCTGATCAGCCGGGCTGTAGTTCGTACGTCGGGTTGAGTGCGGCTAACAGTAACAGCCTGGTAGATCAGGCCCTGATTCACCATGAGGCCTGGTCACAGACCGGGCCGCGGGGGCATTGACCCCCGGAACCCTTTCCAGGTATACACACACACCACACACACACACACGCACACACACACATACATACACACACACACACACACACATACACGCACACACACACATACACACACATACACACACACACACACACACACACACACACACACACACACACACATACACACACACACACACACACACACACACACACACATACACGCACACACACACATACACACACACATACACACACACAGACACACACACATACACGCACACACACGCATACACACACATACACACACAGACGCTATTAATAAAAAGTTAATTAGGAAAAAAATATGAATCGTTTATCTTTGGGCATGGGAGGCAGTCAGGTTTGATCCGAGGAAGAGGAAGTAGCTGTAATTAAGTGGATCAAGAGCAATTCAGCAGGTAACAGGTACTAATTATTAGTACCTTTTACCTGTAATTAATACATTACTGATATATCTTGTTGATTACATAAAATCACGAAGGTTATCAAAGAACTAGATAACGTAGGCTGGTTTAGAACTTACTGGGTGGGAGTGTGGTAGTTGGGATGGTGGTAGTTGTGGTGGGCGGCGGTGGGCGTGGGTATGAGTCGGTGTATGAAGGCGAGTATTGGGTGGTGGTATAGGGTGGATGGATCACCACCTCTGGCCACATCCTGTGGTTACCACCACTCTGGACAGGCTCGAAGACAACACCAGTGGTGACGCTGGGAGTGTACACGATGTTGGCAGTAGTAGTGATCACTTCCCCTGGTCCCAGCGCTGCCAACATCTCACGGTGGTAGTCCGTCTGAGACTCAACTGCAAGCAAGCAAGCAAGTAAGCAAGTAAGTAAGCAAGGCTTAGTTACCAGGTTGAACTTCAAGACGCACTACTGAAGGTGGGTCATTAAGCCTGCAAATTACTACAACCCTGACCTTAAAATATTTTAATTAATAATGAATACTAAAGTATATATATATATATATATATATATATATATATATATATATATATATATATATATATATATATATATATATATATATATATATATATATATATATATATATATATATATATATATATATATATATATATATATATATATAATATATATATATATATATATATATATATAATATATATATATATATATATATATAACACCCTACGATATATACATTTCTTGGTGTGTACATATTGAGATATACACCACCCAGTATTTACCTTGTGCTGTGCCAGGGTCGGTGTGAGAGCACAACACTGCCATACTTACACTCTAGTGTATACAAACACACTCCACGTAGATACATTTATAGCTAGATTTCATACTTTATTGTAATAATGTTAATATCAATTGAGCAGCAACATCTTACGAATGTATCTTAGCATCGACCTGAACCTTCAAGGCTTGTATGCCTTAGTAAGAGGAAGGTTGGGATTATTATTGGTTAACGTAGGTCAGTGTTTAACAATTTCATTATCAATTTTTGGGCGGTGGTATCATTTAGAGTCTCCTAGAGCATTAATAAATAGGTTAAGTTACACCAAAACTCATTATTATGAGAAAGAAAGTCACAATACCGTGACTGAAATAATTCACATCTAGCTCACAGACTGAAGAGGAAAGTAGACATTTGATTTCGTTCTTAACTATTATTAAATAACCTGATAATGGTCTTGATAATGGTCCTAATATTGGTCTTGATAATGGTCCTAATATTGGTCTTGATAATGGTCTTGATAATGATCCTGATGTTGGTCTTGATAATGGTCCTAATATTGGTCTTGATAATGGTCTTGATAATGATCCTGATATTGGTCTTGATAATGGCCCTAATATTGATCTTGATAATGGTCCTGATACTGGCCATGATAATGGTCCTTACAGTGGACTTGTTATTGGTCTTGATAATGGTCCTGATACTTGTCATGATAATCGTCCTGATAATGGTCCTTATAGTGGTCTTGATATTGGTCTTGATAATGGCCCTAATATTGGTCTTGATAATGGTCCTAATATTGGTCTTGGTAATGGTGTTTATAATGATCCTGATGTTGGTCTTGATAATGGCCCTAATATTGATCTTGATAATGGTCCTGATACTGGTCATGATAATGGTCCTTACAGTGGACTTGTTATTGGTCTTGATAATGGTCCTGATACTTGTCATGATAATAATGATGATAATGGTCCTTATAGTGGTCTTGACATTGGTCTTGATAATGGCCCTAATACTGATCTTGATAATGATCATAACATTGGTCTTGAAAATTAATGAACTTGATAACAGTCACGACGATAATTACACAAGATGACCCATAATGTCGGTCAGTTTCCTCTCAATATTGTCTGACCCATTATACGCTACGCGCTGAATTAACATTTAAAGTACATTTTGTCCTTCCTAATGATTTGTTTTTCATCATGAACATCTTAAGATAATCTTTTAAAACTTGTTTTGTAAATGTGTAAAAAAATAAATGTGTAAAAATATCCATAAGAAAGAAATGACCTTAACGTTGGAGCGAGATGGTACATAGCAGACAATAGTTGAAACATACACACACACATGCAACGTTTCGCCTGTAATACAGCCTCTAAAAAAGCCTGTATAATAGACTGTAAAACAGCCTGTACAAGACTGTAAAACAGCCTGTACAAGACTGTAAAACAGCCTGTACAGCAGACTACAAAACAGCCTGTACAGCAGACTACAAAACAGCCTGTACAAAAGCCTACAAAACAGCCTGTACAAAAGACTACAAAACAGCCTGTACAAAAGACTACAAAACAGCCTGTACAAAAGACTACAAAACAGCCTGTACAAAGACTACAAAACAGCCTGTACAAAAAACTACAAACAGCCTGTACAAAAGACTACAAAACAGCCTGTACAAAAGACTACAAAACAGCCTGTACAAAAGACTACAAAACAGCCTGTACAAAAGACTACAAAACAGCCTGTACAAAAGACTACAAAATAGCCTGTACAAAAGACTACAAAACAGCCTGTACAAAAGCCTACAAAACAGCCTGTACAAAAGCCTACAAAACAGCCTGTACAAAAGACTACAAAACAGCCTGTACAAAAGACTACAAAACAGCCTGTACAAAAGACTACAAAACAGCCTGTACAAAAGACTACAAAACAGCCTGTACAAAAGACTACAAAACAGCCTGTACAAAAGACTACAAAACAGCCTGTACAAAAGACTACAAAACAGCCTGTACAAAAGACTACAAAACAGCCTGTACAAAAGACTACAAAACAGCCTGTACAGCAGACTACAAAACAGCCTGTACAAGACTATAAAACAGCCTGTACAAAAGACTACAAAACAGCCTGTACAAAAGACTACAAAACAGCCTGTACAAGACTACAAAACAGCCTGTACAAGACTACAAAATAGCCTGTACAAGACTACAAAACAGCCTGTACAAGACTACAAAACAGCCTGTACAAGACTACAACAGCTGTACAAAAGACTACAAAACAGCCTGTACAAGACTACAAAACAGCCTGTACAAGACTACAAAACAGCCTGTACAAGACTACAAAACAGCCTGTACAACAGACTATAAAACAGCCTGTACAAAAGACTACAAAACAGCCTGTACAAGACTACAAAATAGCCTGTACAAGACTACAAAACAGCCTGTTTCAAGTCAATTATTAAAAAAAATCTTAGTATAAGGACTAAGCGTTGTTTTAACACTAGTGATTCCACTTATGTCTAGTTCAAGCTTAAATTTAAAATATATTATTTTTCTAAATTTTTTTGATCTCACTTTACATGAGCAATGAGGTAAGATTAGGCAATTTAAATTCTCTTACAGATTCTGTTTAGAGTTCAACTATCATCTACTTTATGGAAATCTCATACATTGTTCAGACTGGAAATATATACAAATAATCATTATATTTAGTTAATTTTTGCTGATGTTTTACATAGAGTATCAAATAATGTTTGAACGTCTCTATAAACTTAAGTGGACGCTTTTTATCTTCACAAATCTAATGCGGATGTATCAGACTGGAAAGAAACATTGGAGGTAACCACGGAGGACGTGTTTTTTTTCGTAATCTACAATAATTATTACTTTAAGTAAAGCTGTCTGAAACTCGTGTAGGTCCATCGACTCCTTGATGCGTCAGGACAGTGTCACCAGGTGACACCAACTTACAGTGGAGTTCTTCCATCTCCACTACACCCGTCTCTGATCTCTGCGTCCTGGTCTCTGTAGTGCATTCATAAAGCCGCTGGTGGGCAAAACGTATTCTCGTTAAAAAAAAAAAATCCTAACGTTATATGTTTCTTAATTACACACTGTCGGAAGAATACGTTTTCTGATACCTAGGATCAAAGAGGAAGAGTACATGTGCCAAACTTGATTGTTTTCTTTCCCCACTTCCTAGTGTCCCAGCTCAGGCGAAATAAAGAACAAAAAGGCACAATACCGTGACTGGAACAATACACAAATAACCCGCACGTAGAAGAGAAAAGCTTATGACGACGTTTCGGTCCGACTTGGACCATATATAAAGTCACACTAACACACGACGGTGAGGGAGCCAGTATATATACTGGCTCCCTCACCGATGTGTCTTAGTGTGATTTGTAAATGGTCCAAGTCGGACTAAAACGTCGTCATAAGCTTTTCTCTTCTATGTGCGGGTTATTTGTGTATCTGGCGAAATAATTCATAAAAACATAACTATGTAAAAGCACTGCAGCAGGTCTACTGGCACATACCAAGCTGGTCACACTGACTTTACTGGGTTATCTTAGGTTAAATATACAAGTGTCAATAATGTACGGTAAGCCTACAACCTATTTGTACCCTCGGAACCACTGTGCAAATTTATACCACTCTTTGTAAATTTCTTGAATAAATCTTATCTTACATAATGCATACAACTCATCTAGTGTGGTGGAATATGTTAGGGAAACAAAGCAATTAGCATACAGAATAGGTCCGGCGCACATTACAGCTGTGCCTTTCTTGAACCAAAAAAAAAAAATTCTCTCTTTCCCTCAGGCAACATGTGGCACTTGACAGCATGCGTTTAAACATTTGCTCACCAACACAGGGGTTGAACCACAGGATTCTCTGCCAGTCCATGCAAGTGTAGGTCTCCCTGGGGTCAGAGGCGGCGCAGGTACAGAGGCTGCGCAGCTGCGTGCCCAGGATGCCCAGCACTGCTCGCCGACACTCTGCAGTGGAGCCTGCGCACCTGCGCGTATCGCTGTCCACTGCACATGCCTGCTCGTAGAACTCAAGTCTGTGTCTGGTGGAGCAGAGCAACAGCTTCAGCAGGTTGCTGATGGTCTTGTACACTCATAAGAATATTGTAATTAAGGTTCGCAGCATACAAAAATATACAAGACTTGCAGGAATTATATGATGATAATTTATAGAGGTTATAATACCAGACTGTTACAACAGACAAAGATAAAGTTGATTGACATAATGGAATATCAACTAATTGTGTTGAGATTGACTGTCTTCATGGTAGTATGTTCACACATAAGCGCACTTATATTGTCAACACACTCTTTACAATATATTTTAAAAGTGTTATAAAAGTGCATTATAATCAGCGCAATCTGTTATGTTCACTGGTGCAGTTGTGTCATTCTGACCAGGAAATTGTGGATGTGGATGGTTTAGCAGACAGATGTAGAAGAGAGGGAATAGGGTGTAGGTAGACGGTGGAGAGGAAAACGATAGAAGTGCAGTTGGTGTAGTTGTGTTGATTAATAATGGGGAAAAGGATAGGTAGCTCCAGGAAAAGGGAAGAAATATGGAAGCAAATTAAGTCAGAGTTGAAGAGAGGTATGGTCAGCAAGACTGGCCAGCAAGACTGGCCAGCAAGACTGGCCAGCAAGACTGGTCAGCAAGGAGGCCAAGCCAGGCTGAGGGACAAGGACCTACCTGCATCCATTTTCCTCTTTGCAGGCTGCTGCCAGACGGTTACACAACATGGGGATGGGACCTGCTGTCTTGCGTGCGCACGATGGGTGCAACTTCTCCTGCGCCGTCAGACACTCGTTGGCCGTCACGCTGCTCTTCCTGTAAGCAGTCACAGATGAAACAGAACTGGGCATCAGTGCTTTGATGTGTGTGTGTGTGTGTGTGTGTGTGTGTGTGTGTGTGTGTAAGTGGGGGGGATATGATACATGCGCCCATGTACAATCTGCAGCTACCCACACAGACCAATGCTCGTAGTATCTGGTCTTCAGCGTTCATTTACAAAAAAAAAAAAAAAAAAAAAAATAATAATAATTATTGTATCATTTACGACGTCTTCTTTAATGTTATTCAAGTGTTCTGCCACATGTGGCTTCTTGTTCTCGCTTCTTAATGGCGACAAGATATTTTCATATTTTGTTTTCCAGGAGGATCAAACATGTAGTTCACAGATCTCTTTACAGTTTATCAACTAACCAGAGGAAACTTTTAAGTGCCTTAGGTCGTGTTTCTGAGTTCGATTCTGTAGCATGTCTCTGGATTTTATTTTATCTTACGCACAAGTTTTCTAGGTACAGCCAACACACCACAGCTGCACATTGTAAGTTTGGCCTAATATACATGTGAAGTGCATTTTAAGCATTTACTCATCCTTATGTCCTTATAAGTGAACATTTATGTGTTCTTCTTAACACTATATTTACTCGACGATGACTCACAAATTCCTATTTTTATGATGCTTTCAATATTTTGTCACACAGTCTACGTAGTGGAACCTGTTATCACTTTCTCCCATTTCCATTACATTATATTTATTTTCATTCGTCTCCATCATTCATTTATTACTCCATTTGCTCAATGTATCCGAGTTTGTAAGAATTTATAATAACGTTCATTACACATTTCACATATGATCTTTGCATCATCTAAACATATATACATTACTATTTCTTCTTACAAGTCATCATTTATAGAAATTAAAAACATAATCGAGGAAAGAAATGCTTCAAGTAGGACCCGGCTGCTGACATTTCCTCACGAGGGCATTTTTTCCTTTTATTTCACATTTTCCCATCAGAGAGCCATTCATCCTCTGTAATAATTTGCTCTTTTTTTCGCCGTGTTTGTATTTTTAGATTTCTTTTAAGGGGGGTTTTAGAATGAATTAAAAATGAAATTAAAGTCATTTAACATTTTAAAAAAATCTTAGCACAAAGTTAATATAAATTTTTGGGGACAGTAATTGTTGAATAACTTGATTATTGCATTTCTGGAAATACAAAACAATGGCGCCCTACAGGGAAATAGAAAGTTCAGCTTCATAACAAAGTAAAGGAAAATTCATGACTGGAACAAATACAAATTACCTCACATAAAAGAAAGAATTATGTAAGTTCCGGTCCGACTTCCCCCACCTAGTTACACCCTTTACGTGTGTATTACATGTAACCTGTACTAGTGTTACTTCCTAGTACACCTGTAATAAGTGCACTACCTTTACACCCGTGACTAGTGTGTTACTTACCAGTTAAATGCGACTAGGGGTATTACCCAGCAACCTGTGTTTGTGTCTACTTCCTAGCAACCTGCACTTGTGTGCTACTTACCTAGCACCCTATTGTGTACTTTCCTAGTCACACCCCGTCATGGGTTTTAATTACCCTGCGACAGTGTGCTATTACCCAGTCACCCGTGACTGTGGTTCTTACCTATACACCTCATATGTGCTACTTCTGTCACAAACCCGCGACTATGTCTATTACCTACACACCTTGATAGTGTGTACTTACCCAGTTTCACCCGCGATAGTGTGCTACTTTCCTATCAACCTGTATATGTGCTACTTCCTATTACACCCGGACATATCCTTTTTAGTCAACTGCGATAGTGAGTATTAGCAGTTTCTTCCCTTCGAATAATTTTAAAACTTTACTTACTTTTTTCCCGCAGATTTAAAACAATTACTGTCAGTGAACAGCATTTGTTTACCGATTTTTTTTAAAATCACAAAATGTACGTTATTACCGACGAGAGTTTACCTTTTTTTGTGAGAAAGCAGTCACAGGGGACACTGGACAGCTTAAATATCTGAGATTTTTTAAACCCGTTTGGTGGTCTACTCTTTGTGTGGTGCTAGTGCTTTTTTGTGTGCTACCTCTTTTGGGGGTGCTACTGCCTTGTGTGGTGCTATGCTTTGTGTGGGCACGTCTTGTGGGTGCTACTGTCTTTTGGGGGTGCTATCTTTTTTGTGGGGCTATGCTTGTTGGTGTACTGCCTTTTGTGGTGCTAGTGTTTTGTTGGTGCGTGCTCTTTTTTGGGGCTTCTTTTTGTGGTGCTAGTGCTTTTTTGGTTAGTCTCTTGGTGGTGCTAGCCTTGTGTGGTGCTACGCCTTTTTTTGGGGCTATTTTTTGGGTTTTGCTAGGCTCTTTTGGGGGTGACTGTCTTGTGGGTGCTAGGCTTTTTTTTGGGGCAGTGCCTTGTGTGGTCTATGCCTTGTGTTTGGGGCTTGTGCTTTGTGTGGTGCTCTGTCTTGTGTGATGCTGGTGCTATTGTGGGTGCTACTGTCTTTGTGGTCTAGTGCTCTTGTGGGTTTATAGTGCTCTTTTGTGGGGATGCTTTTGGGTGCTTGCTATTGTTGTCTACTGCTCTTTGTGGGCTAGTGCTTTTTGGTGGTCTTGCTCTTGTGTGGTCCCCTGCTCTTGTGTGGGCTAGTGCTTTTTTGTTGCTACTGTTTGTGTGGGCTACTGTCTTGTGTGTGCTAGTGCTTTTTGTGGTGCTACTGTCTTGGTGTGAAATGCATTTTGTGGTCCCACTGCTTTGTGTGGGCCTATGCCTTTTTGTGGTCAGTGCTTTTGTGTGTGCTAATGCTATTGTGTGATGCTAGTGTTTTTTGTGCTAATGCTCTTGTGTGGTGCACTGCACTTTTTGTGTATGCTCTTGTGTGGTGTATGCCTTTGTGGTGTACTGCCCTTTTGTGTGCTACGTTTTGTGTGGTGTACTGCTCTTTTGTTGTACGCTTTTGTGGGTGTCAGTGTCTTGTGTGGCTACTGCCCTTTTGGGGGTGTCAGTGTCTTGTGTGGTTTATGCCCTGTTTGTGTGGTGTACTGTCTTGGTGGGGGTACGTATTGGTGTGCTATGTTTTGTGTGGGCATGTTTTTTGTGTGGTTTTTAATCCCCTTGGTAGTGCTAAAGTTTTGGTGGTGTTTTGTTTGTGTGGGATAATGCCCTTTTGTTGAGTGGTTTCTTTCCTTTGGTTTGGGTACTGTTTTTGTGCGGTGATTCTTTTTTTGGTGTAATGCCTTTGGTTTAACTGCCCTTTTTTGTGTGGGTTTATTTTTGGGTTTGTGGGGTATCTCTTGGTGGTTTACTGTTCTTGTGTTGTGTTGGGGTAGTGCTCTTTTGGGTTTTAGCACTTGTTTTGTGTGGTGCTAGGCCTTTTTTTTGATTCATGCTCTTTATTTGTGGTTTATGCTTTAGTTGGTGGTGTTAATCCTTGGTTTTTACTCTTTGTTTTGGGTGCAGGCTTGTGGGTTTTATGCTCTTGAGTTTTGTGGTGTAGGCTCTTGGGGTTTATGCTCTTGTGTTGTGTGGTGCTATGCTAGTTTGGTTCTACGTTCTTGTGTTGTGTGGGGAGTGTTTGTTTGGTGGTGTATGCATTGGGGTTCTTTTGCCTTGTTTTTTGTGGTTTCTGGGTTATTTTGGGGGTTGTGGGTGTATGCTTGTGGGTTTATGCTCTGTGTTTGTGGTCTAGTGTTTTTGTGGTTTTACTGCTCTTGTTTTGTGGTTCTTTGTTTTTTGTGTTTTGTGGGTAGTGTCTTGTGTGGTTTTATGTTTTGTGTTGTGTGGGGCTAGTCTTTGTGTGGTTCTACCTCTGGCTGTGGGTTTTTGCTCTGAGTTTGGGGGTTTTATGTTCTTGTGTTATGTGGGGGCGTGCTCTTTTGTGGTGCTAGTGCCTTCGTCGGTGCTTTGTTTGTTGGGGTAGTGCTCTTGTGTGGGCTAGTGCTCTTTGTTTGGGGTAGTGCTCTTTTGTAGGTGGGGTATGTCTTGTGTTGTGGGTGTATGTCTTTTGTTTGGGTAGTGTCGTGTAGTGTGGTCTAGTGCCCGTGTTGTTTGGGGTTTTGCTCTTGTGTGTGCTAGTGCCCTTTTTGTGTGGGCTAGTGCTTTGTGTTTGGGTGTAGTGCTCTTGTTAGTGTGGTGTTAGCGTCTTGTTTGGTGCTAGTGCTCTTTGTTGTGTGGGGCTAGTCTCTTTTGGCTGGTGGGCTGGGTTTTGTTGTGTGGGCTAGGCTCTTTTTTTGTGGTGTTAGCGTTTGTTTTTGGTGGTTGTGTCTTGTGTTTGTGGTGCTAGTGCTCTTGTGTTTTTGGGGGGCAGTGCTTTTGTGTGTGCTATGCTCTTGTGTTGTGTGGTTAGTGCTTTGTGGTGAGTGCTTTGGTTTTTACTGCTTTGTGTGGTGTAGTGCCTTGTATGGTCTATGCTTGGGGTTTTAGCTTTGTGGGGGTGTGTCTTGGGGGGGCTAGGCTTTGTGTGGCGTAGGCTTTGTGTGGGCCTATGCTCTTGTTGGGGCTAGTTCTTGTTTTGGGTGTATGTTTGTGTGGGGGAGTTCTTTTGTGTGGGCAGCCCCTTTTTGGTTCTATTGTCTTGGTTGGTGGTGCTAGTGTTTCTTGTGTGTTTAGCCCTTGTTTTGTGGGTGTTAGTGCTTTGATTGTGTGGGGCTAATGTCTTGTGTGCTTTCTATGCTCTTTGTTTGCGGTGTATCTTTGTGTGGTTTATGTTTGCGTTGTGTGGTCTAGTGCTTTGTGTCTTTCTATTGTTTGTGTTGTGGGTGTATGCACTTGTTTTGTGCGGTGCAGCGCCCTTTTTGTTCTACTGCTCTTTGTTGTGTGGTTTCTAGTTTTTTGTGTGGTTCTATTTCTTGTTTGGTGGGTAGTGCTTTGTGTGGTTCTATGCTCTTTTGTTGTGTGGTCTAGTGTTTTTGGGTTCTATGCTCTTGAGTTGTGTGGTGCTAGGCCCGTGGGCTCAGTCTTGGTTGGTGGGTGCTAGGCTAGTGTGTTTCAAGTTCTTGTTTTGGGGGTGCTATGCCCCGTGTTTTGGTGCTAGGCATTGTGTGGTTCTACTGTCTTGTGTTGTGTGGTTCCGTTATTGTTTGTTGGTGAGTGCCCCTTTGTGGGTTCTACGCTCTTGGTTGGTGGTGCTATGCCTTTGTGGTTTATGTCTTGTTTGTGTGGTTCTCTGTTCTTGTGTGTGGGTTTCTAGTGCCTTTTGTGGTTTAGTTCTTGTGTTTTTGTGGTGCTAGTGTCTTGTTGGTTTTACTGCTTTGCGCTGGTGGTTTCAGCTTGAGTTGGTGGGTTTCTGTTTTGGTTGTGGTGCAGTGTCTTTGTGGTGCCGTGTCTTTCTTTTTGCTTTGTGTTGGTGGTCTTTTTTGGTGTGTGTGTTCTTGTGGTGTATGCCTTTGAGTGTTGCTAGGCTCTTTGTGTTGGGGGTTTGTGCTCTGTGTAGTGTAGTGCTCCCGTGTTTGTGGGGCTAGTGCCCCTTTGTTGTGGGGTATGCTCTTGTTATGTGTGTCCTGTGTAGTGGGTATGCTCTTGTTTGTGTGGTGCTAGTGCTCTTTTAGGTGGGGTTTTCGCTCTTGTGTTGTGGGGTGCTAGTGCTCTTGTGTTTTGGTGCTAGGCTCTTGTGTTTTGTGGGCTGTGTTTTTTGGGGTTTTGTGGTTAGCGTCTTGTGTTTGGGGTAGTGCTTTTGGTTGTGTGGTGCTAGTGCCTTTTGTTGTGTGGGCTAGGCCCTTTTGTGGTGCGTGCTCTTGTGTTGTGTGGTTTCTTGTCTTGTTGGTAGTGTCTTTGTGGGTATGCTCTTGGTGGGGTAGTGCTCTTTCATGGGTAGTGCTCTTGTGTGGGTTTTACTGTTTTTTATGGGGGTAGTGCTCTTGGTGGGGATTCTTGGTGGGTAGGTCTTGTGTGGGGTAGGCTCTTGTGTGGGTAGTGTTTGTGTTTTTTCGTCTATGCTCTTTTGGTGGGGCTATGCTCTGGGGGCTTGCCTGTGTGGGGTAGTGCCTTGTGTTTGGTGCTAGTGCTCTTGTGTGTGTGGGGCAGTGTTTGTGTTTGTGGTGTAGTTCTTGTGTAGTGTTGTGCTAGTCTTTGTTGGTGTATGCCTTTTATTGTGTGGTGTTGCTCTTTTTGGTGCTAGTGCTCTTGTGTGGTGCTATGCTCTTGTGTGGTGCTACGGGATTGAGTGGGCGTGCTCTTTTGTGGTTTACTGCCTTTTTGTGGGCTACTGCATTGTGTGGGCAGTCTCTTGTGTGGTGCAGTGTTTGTGTGGGGCTGTGCCTTTTGATCAGTGTTTTTGTGTGGGTGGGGCTCTTGGTGGTCTGGTTTTTGTGGTGCTGGTGCTTTTTGGTGGTGTAGGCCTTTTTGTGGTCTATGTCTTGGGTTAGTGTTCCTGTGTGTGAGTGCTCTGTGTGGTGTAGGCTCTTGTGTTGTGGTGCCTTTTGGTGTAGTGTTCTTTTTGGTGCAGTTCTTGTGTGGGGGTTGTTTTTGGGGGGTGTGGTGTCTTGTGGGTGAGTGTTTTGTAGGGTAGTTTTGTGGGGGCGGTTCTTGTGGGTGCTAGTGCTCTTGTTGGGGTAGTGTTTTTGTGTGGTTGGTGCCTTTTGTGGTGCTATGTTTTGTTGGGTGGGTCTTTTGGGTATGCTCTTGTGTGGGGCTAGGCTCTTTTTGGGTGGTTTGTTGGTGTAGTGTTCTTGTGTGGGGGTAGTGCTCTGTGTGGTGCAGGATCTTTGTGTGGTGTAGGTTTTGTGTGGTGTAGTGTTTGTTGGTGTAGTGTTTTTGTGGTGCTAGTCTTTGTGGGGTAGTGCTCTTGTGTTGTAGTTCTTGTGTGGTGCTGTGCTCTTGGTGGTGCTAAATGTTGTGTGGTTAGTGCCTTGGTGGTGATAGTGAGTGTTGTGTGGTGCTAGTGCTTTGTGTGGGGATGTGTATGCTCTTGTGTGGTGCTAGTGTCTTGTGTGGTGTTGTGTTTGTGTGGTGCTAGTGTTTTGTGGTGCTAGTCTCTTGTGTGGTGTAGTGTTTTGTGGTGCTAGTGCTTTGTGTGGGCTAGTGCTCTTGGTGGGGCTAGTGTCTTGTGTGGGTAGTGCTCTTGGTGGTGCTAGGTTTGGTTGCTAGTGCTCTTTTGGGTTATGTTTTTTGTGGTGTAGGCTTGTGTGTGAGGTTTTTTTCAAACCTGTAGCTGGGTAATGACTTGGATTTACAAATCGTGTATTTCAATAATGTTTGTGACTTTATTAAATTATTAAAAATTAACTTCCCCCTCACAATTTCAAACTTCATAAAATTTTTCATTTTGTTATTTCTTTTCTTCTAAAATTTCGTTTTTTGTCTTGCCCGAATCTCTTTATTTACTTTTAACATTTATTTTAAATTTTGTTAACGAAGTAAAAGTTATTTTAACTACCCTCCACAGTTTTTTTTATTTTTTTCCCTTCCCTTTTTATATTTTTGTATTAATTTGGCTGGTCGCTAAGTCTAGGCTGCCGCCGAACTTCTTGTAATGCTTCTTAATGTTTTTTCAGCTTTTTCGCGTGTTAAGATAAATAAGATTTTGTTTAAAGGGTTAGCCGCTAGGATGATCCAAGACAGTGCGTCGTCAAGGACTCTCTATCTTATTGCCATTGGGGTCCTTCAATCTTGTCTCCAGGATGCGACCCACACCAGTCGACTAACACCCAGGTGCCTACCTGCTTCTAGGTGAATAGGGACAGCAGGTGTAAGGAAACACGTCCAAATGTTTCCACCCAGCTGAGGACTGAACTACGGACACTCAGTGGATGAGGCGAGAGCGTTGTCTACCAGCCCACGGGACACCGTGTTGCTCTCTGCTCAAACGTTATTATGTGTGTGTGTGTGTGTATATATATATAATATATATATATATATTAATATATATATATATATATATATAATATATATATATATATATATATTTTTATCACACTGGCCGATTCCCACCAAGGCAGGGTGGCCCGAAAAAGAAAAACTTTCACCATCATTCACTCCATCATTTGTCTTCCCAAAAGGGGTGCTTTACACTACAGTTTTTAAACTTCAACATTAACACCCCTCCTTCAGAGTGCAGGCACTGTACTTTCCCATCTCCAGGACTCAAGTCCGGCCTGCCGGTTTCCCTGAACCCCTTCATAAATGTTACTTTCCTCACACTCCAACAGCACGTCAAGTATTAAAAACCATTTGTCTCCATTCACTCCTATCAAACACGCTCACGCATGCCCGCTGGAAGTCCAAGCCCTCGCACAACAAAACCTCCTTTACCCCCCCTCTCCAACCTTTCCTAGGCCGACCCCTACCCCGCCTTCCTTCCACTACAGACTGATACACTCTTGAAGTCATTCTGTTTCGCTCCATTCTCTCTACATGTCCGAACCACCTCAACAACCCTTCCTCACCCTCTGGACAACAGTTTTGGTAATCCCGCACCTCCTCCTAACTCCAAACTAAAGAATTCTCTGCATTATATTCACCACCCCACATTGCCCTCAGACATGACATCTCCACTGCCTCCAGCCTCTCCTCGCTGCAACATTCATCACCCATGCTTCACACCCATATAAGAGCGTTGGTAAAACTATACTCTCATACATTCCCCCTTTGCCTCCAAGGACAAAGTTCTTTGTCTCCACAGACTCCTAAGTGCACCACTCACTCTTTTCCCCTCATCAATTCTATGATTCACCTCATCTTTCATAGACCCATCCGCTGACACGTCCACTCCCAAATATCTGAATACATCACCTCCTCCATACTCTCTCCCTCCAATCTGATATTCAATCTTTCATCACCTAATCTTTTTGTTATCCACATAACCTTACTCTTTCCTGTATTCACCTTTAATTTTCTCTTTTGGCACACCCTTCCAAATTCATCCACCAATCTCTGCAACTTCTCTTCAGAATCTCCCAAGAGCACAGTGTCATCACAAAGAGCAGCTGTGACAACTCCCACTTTGTGTGTGATTCTTTATCTTTAACTCCACGCCTCTTGCCAAGACCCTCGCATTTACTTCTCTTACAACCCCATCTATAAATATATTAAACAACCACGGTGACATCACACATCCTTGTCTAAGGCCTACTTTTACTGGGAAATAATCTCCCTCTTTCCTACATACTCTAACTTGAGCCTCACTATCCTCGTAAAAACTCTTCACTGCTTTCAGTAACCTACCTCCTACACCATACACCTGCAACATCTGCCACATTGCCCCCCTATCCACCCTGTCATACGCCTTTTCCAAATCCATAAATGCCACAAAGACCTCTTTAGCCTTATCTAAATACTGTTCACTTATATGTTTCACTGTAAACACCTGGTCCACACACTCCCTACCTTTCCTAAAGCCTCCTTGTTCATCTGCTATCCTATTCTCCGTCTTACTCTTAATTCTTTCAATAATAACTCTACCATACACTTTACCAGGTATACTGAGAAGACTTATCCCCCTATAATTTTTGCACTCTCTTTTGTCCCCTTTGCCTTTATACAAAGGAACTATGCATGCTCTCTGCCAATCCCTAGGTACCTTACCTAGGGATTATATATATATATATATATATATATATATATATATAATATATAATATATATATATATATATATATATATATAGATAGATAGATAGATAGATAGATAACGTGTTTTGTGGTTGTCAAAGGTATGAGGAAGAATACAAAACATTCACAAATATGTAACGAAGATGGAAAGAGAATCATGAGAATTAATAAACAGTAAACTAAAATAATTCACAAATGAATTCCACAAGATGAGAAAATGTCAAGGGACAGCCACGAAGATACTCGACTGACACAGGAAAATGAAAATTTTGCTTACAACCAAAAAGAAAGGAGATATGTAAGAGATTCACTCACTTGCAGAGGCAGAAAGCGACTTCGAGAGCCCATTTGGACTCCACATTTCTGTAGAAAGTCTGCAGGTTGCTCATGCAAGCCTCTCTGTTGCACTCATTGTCGCACATGGCCAGCACGGGATCCAGGAGCCTCCGGCAGGTGGGCTCCGTTGTGCACCCTACCAGCGCCGTCTGGCAGGTGGAGTGGAGCACCGGCACGGGGCCAGAGGGCGAGGTGGCGTGACCTGCAGGCAGTGCGGTGGGCCAAGGTCAGGTCAGGGAGGGGTTTGTACCAGGTGGTACTGAGGGTGGTGGTCAGGGTGGACAAGTGGCACCATAGCTGGCTGGAAGTGATGGTAGGTGGTAACAGTAGTGATGGTAACAATGGTGATGGTATGGTGGTGGTGATGGTAGGTGATAGTGGTGGTTATGGGGGTGGTAATATAAGCAGCAATATGTGTAGGAGCTCAGCTAACTAGCTAACATAGCTAGTTAAGGCCACTAGCTAAGTAATTTATCTATAAGGACCAAGTGCCAACAGATGGATCAACACACTGTAGGACAACAGAGTGGTGTGAGGGCAGGATAACTGCGAGAGAAGAGGACAAGCTGCTGCACTTCTCACCACTCAACAACCTTCACATTCTTCATCAAAACTTTACATGCCTAGAATTATAATAATGTCCAATGGAAAAAAAACCTGAAAAGGCAAAAAAAAAAAAAAATAGATGAAGGTATTATTTTACATAAGCAGGATAAATAAATAATTCACGTTAAACGCTAAACCCACGTGGGTCGTTCAGCTCAAGACGTAGTGGAGGCTTGATCCTCGGTCTGCCTCTTATACAGCACAGGGTGGCAGGATCTGGTAGCACTGGTGTGTCCTGCCTGGCACTGCCACTCGACGCTGGGTCGCCTTAACAGTCAGCACACACGGGACACACTTGAAAATCGTGAGAAAGAATTTAAAAAAAAAAAAAGGAAAAAACTGAGATATAGTCTATTAAATTTGTCGTAAGGATGAAGAACATTTGAATGTTTTAGATAACTGAATTGTTAGTTATGACGCCCTCACTTCCGGTAGGTCGGCAAGTGCGTGTAGGTGATACTTTATGTATTTATAGCAGCTTAAATACAGACGCGACTCACACACACACACACACACACACACACACACACACACACACACACACACACACACACCACACACACACACACACACATTATATATATATAATATATATATAATATAAAATATATATATATATATATAATATATATATATATATACAATATTATATATATATATATATATATATATAATATATATGCAAAACAACCACTCTGAAAGAATAGAGAAATTCCAAGCGCTTTCGTGACTACTACATTATCATAGTTCCTTGATAATGCGAGTAGTCACGAAAGCGCTTGGAATTTCTCTATTCTCTCAGAGTGATTGTTTTGCATATTTTGAAATCACCTGTTCACTGTGATCTTATTGCTTTATATATATATAAAAATATATATATATATATATATATATATATATATATATATATATATATATATATATATATAGATAGATATATATATACAAATTGGCGACTAGCGAAGATGCGGGGGCCAGGAGCTACGAATCGACCCCTGCAACCACAAATAGGTGAGTATACACACACACACACACACACACATACCAACGGTCACCTGGTTTTGTATGATCGTGTATCATGTTTCTTGCTGCTGATTAATCTTGTATTTTAAGGAAACACCTCGTGAGAGGGAATGATTTTAGGAGATACTTTTATTATTATCCAGTTGACTGACATTTAACTGACAAGAGTATTTTAACCCAGAGTGAGAGTACTGTTTTTATTGTAATCTTGGTGTTTACTCTATGGAAAGGCAGTAAAGCTTTGGCTTTCGTGGTATACATTAATACTTGTACGTATACTGTATTTGTCCCCTAGGGACGGTGACCGGTGCCAGGGTGGTTGCACCCTGGGAGGAGGTGTCTCAGGTGTCCCCTAGGGACGGTGACCGGTGCCAGGGTGGTTGCACCCTGGGAGGAGGTGTCTCAGGTGTCCCCTAGGGACGATGACTGGTGCCAGGGTGGTAGCACCCTGGGAGGAGGTGCCTCAGGTGTCCCCTAGGGACGATGACTGGTGCCAGGGTGGTAGCACCCTGGGAGGAGGTGCCTCAGGTGTCCCCTAGGGACGATGACTGGTGCCAGGGTGGTTGCACCCTGGGCGGAGGTGTCTCAGGTGTCCCCTAGGGATGGTGGCTGGTGCCAGAATGGTGCACCCTGGGAGGAGGTGTCTCAGGTGTCCCCTAGGGACGATGACTGGTGCCAGGGTGGTAGCACCCTGGGAGGTGCCTCAGGTGTCCCCTAGGGACGATGACTGGTGCCAGGGTGGTAGCACCCTGGGAGGAGGTGCCTCAGGTGTCCCCTAGGGACGATGACTGGTGCCAGGGTGGTAGCACCCTGGGAGGAGGTGCCTCAGGTGTCCCCTAGGGACGATGACTGGTGCCAGGGTGGTAGCACCCTGGGAGGAGGTGCCTCAGGTGTCCCCTAGGGACGATGACTGGTGCCACGGTGGTAAACTACAGTCTTGCCCTAACGTGACAGTACATTGTTGACAGGATGCTACAGTGGGCAACCTGACGTGCACTGACGCAACTTATTCGTCCTCTATCAAACCTTCTCGCTCCCCCGGATAATTCTTGCTCTCTTTTATCGCATTTCCTCTTATACAAAAGAGCGATGCTTGCCCTATGTCAGTCCTCTATACCTCCCCATCTTCAATACGAACACTTAACACACATTCATCAACTGTTTCACCACTTCATCGTACCTACTTCCAGTGTTTCGGTCTTCGTAGCATCCATCCCTGTCGCTTCTTCTATGTTCACCCACACTGTCTCATCCACTTCCTTCTTACTCACTTCAGTTCCTTCCTCCTAACAAATTCCGTTCCTTCCTCTCCCAAGCAGAATTTTTTGTGTACATTTAATCTAAATAAAACACTAATAATAATAATAATAATGATAATAATGATAATGATAATAATAATAATGATAATAATAATGATAATAATAATAATAATAATGATAATAATGATAATTAAAAATAATAATAATGATAATAATGATAATAATAATAATAATAATAATAATAATAATAATAATAATAATAATAATAATAATAGTAATAATAATAATAATAATAATAATAATAATAATAATAATAATAATAATAACAATAACAACAATAATTAATAATAATAATAATAATAATAATAATAATAATAATAAATAAAATCATTAATAATAATAAAAATAATAACAATAATTAATAATAATAAATAATAAAATAATAATAATAACAATAAATAATAATAACAATAAATAATAATAATAATTAATAAAAATAATTAATAATAATAAATAATAATTAATAAAAAATTAATAATAATTAATAATAATAATTAATAAAATAATTAACAATAATTCATAAAGTAATTAATAAAATAATTAACTATAATTCATAAAATAATTAATAAAATAATTAACAATAATTCATAAAATAATTAACAATAATAACAATAATTATTAATAATAATTAATACTAACAATAATTAATAATAACAATAATTAATAATAACAATAATTAATCTTAATAATAATAAAAAAAATAATTTAAAAAAAATCATAAAATAATTGATAATAATAACAATAATTAATAATAATAATAATGAATTATTTTCCAAGATTCATTTGTTTCCTAGACGTGAAAGACAAGAGTGATGGAGTCACTTGGGACAAACTTGAACTAACAGTAGCAGTAAGAAAGCACAAAGTCTAGATCATTTTGGGCAGACAAACTAAAATTTAGAACTAACTGACGCTGAATAATGAACGTTAGATTATCTGAATGTGAAGTTTAATATAATTAAGATGTCTGAAGATTATTAAATATATATTTTATATATATATATATATATATAATATATATATATATATATATATATATATATATATATATATTATATATATATATATATAAAAACATCAGCCGTTTCCCACCAAGGCAGGGTGGCCCGAAAAAAAAAAACTTTCACTATCATTCACTCCATCACTGTCTTGCCAGAGGCGAGCTCACACTACAGTTATAAAACTGCAACATTAACACCCCTCCTTCAGAGTGTAGACACTGTACTTCCCATCTCCAGGAATCAAGTCCGGCCTGCAGGTTTCAATGAATCCCTTCATAAATATTACCCTATTCACACTCCAACAGCACCTCAAGTCCTAAAAACCATTTGTCTCCATTTACTCCTATCTAACACGCTCACGCATGCTTGCTGGTAGTCCAAGCCTCTCACACACAAAACTTCCTTTACCTCCCCCCCCCTCTAATCTTTCGTAGGCCGACTTCTACTCCGCCTTCCCTCCACTACAGATTTATACACTCTCGCAGTCATTCTATTTTGTTCTGCATGTCTGAACCACTTCAACAACCCCTCATCAGCTCTCTGGATAACAGTTTTGGTACTCCCGCACCTCCTAATTTCCAAACTACGAATTCTCTGCATTACATTCACACCACACACCGCCCTCAGACACAACATCACTGCCTCCAGCCTCAGCCTTCTCTCAGCGTGTGCTATATATACTGAGTGTTTGCTTGCTTTAATCTCTATTTTAGGTATTAGAGTATTTTTGTCTGGTGGTGAAGAGGTTACGTGCAGCTTCAAGAACTCTAGTGTGGTCGACAGACTTCCCTCATTAACTAACCTACGAAGGGACAGTAATAGAAAAGAGTATTGAGAATTTTTTTATGAAATTACTGGCGGAAAGGGAGAGGTAGAAATGTAGTGGAGACAAGAAGTGTATAAATGCTGAGTGAAATCCGGACACCGGTGTATTAGACATTCCGTATTGGACATTTATATTCCATCTAAATACTTTACACCAAGTCCATGAGGTATTTGTTTAGCAATATTTTTTTTTTTAGGCAGTTGGCAGACAGGAAACTTTTAGAAACTTTTGGTGGAGAGCTCCATAGTCTTGGTGTTTATATTTGTTAAGCTTTTGCAACTGAGGTAAAAGTCGCACCACGTGTGAGGTATTTGTTTCTTGTATCAATGCATGTTGTTGCAGCGTCTCCAGTGTTATGACTGAGTTTATATTTGTATTGAGTGTCTTGCACTACTCTACTTGTATTGCACTGACACCACTCTCCTTC